TGGGATCTTTACGGATTTGAAAAGAGCAGAAAAAGTTATTTTAGAAGTTCTTCAACCTTTTTGATTTATAAATAGTCTCTCAGTGAGATATAGGCCCTCAAACATGGAAATTTTGACCATTTTTGGAAAAAAATCCGTGGTGCTTGGGGCCTGGGACTCAGGAACGCGAGCGTAAACAAACACTTATCACTTATTTACTGAGACCGAGGGAAACAGTGTGTTTTGTGGACCCGAGACCGCTTTCCCGAGATCTCAGTAAATAAGTGTTTTATTATATATCAATAGTCAAAGAAACAACAAATTAAAGAACAAATGACTGTAAGTACATGAAATATTTTATTTTTAAAACATTAAATTTAACACTACAGTTACTCAAAGCGAAAGTTTAATTGTTTAAATTATTAGGCATGTCCAAAGGTCGCACCTTCACGTGATGGAGCACGTAATTTTTTTTTCGTTATTCGCCGGTCGATACAATCTCGTACCCAGAGCAATGCCTGTGCGCGGGCTAGAATGGCATTGGCTCTGGGGAAATTGACAACCGGAACCCCTAAATTTAGGGGTTCCAGTTCTTTGTCGGCATGCATGATTGATAAACGTTAACTAATCACAGCACAAGAAAAATTTAATTTCCCCAGAGCCAATGCCATCCTAGCCCGCGCACAGGCATTGCTCTGGGTACGAGATTGCGGTCGATAACGTATTGTTTCCCTCTCGGAGAGTTATGATTTCGGCTAGTTAAGTTCGATCCACGCCCAAACCACGCCCACTTTTCCCAACGACCACATCCAATTTCTTAACTCTCTTGACGTTTCCTGGAACTAACATGAGAGAGTTATGTTTGACGTAACTCTCTCTCTCTCGTTAACATAATGAAGATGTTAGAGAGTTTGATTGTGGCAATGAAGAGAGTTTTTTTAGAAAACCTTCCACATATTAGTAAACTTTTGTAAATTTACTTTTTTCTTAAGTGTCAGCTTTACAGGTAAACTACGTGAAGCGTTCCTCTTTTGAGTTTCTAAATTGATTGCAATTTTCCTCATTACTTTTGCAGTTTAAAAAACTCCCTTGCAAATTCCTTGAGGGAATTTGCAATGTTGCTAAAAGCCAAAAAAAATTTCCTCAGTTCCTGTTAGAAGTTCTTAACTTCCTGTTGCAAGTTCCTAACTTCCTGCTCTGTTCTGCGTGTTGCAATTGGCTAACAAAAATAATCGACCAATAACAACGCTCAGAACAGAACAGAACAGGAAGTTAGGAAATTAAAACAGGAAGTTAGGAAAATTTAAAATGAAGTTTGGAATATTGCAACAGCCGATAGGAACATTGCAAATTCCCTCAAGGGATTTGCAAAGAGTTTTTCAAATTTGCAAAGCTAATGAGGAAAATTCCAAATGAGTTACGAAGTCAAAAGAGGAACGCTTCACATAGTTTACCTGTAACATTTCACGCTAGTAGAAACTAACAGTACTTTAGTACTTACCATGTTCATCTAATTGTAAATGTTTATATACATGCTCACTTGGATTATCTACCAAGCTCAGCATTCAGATACAACTCTCGTATTAGATATAAGTTGATAGAACCTCAAATGTAATGCCCTATTGGCTGATCTGGGAAAGTATTTCCAAAACCTGAATTGCTGAAAGATTCAATTTTCTTAAATTTCTTACAACTGTGCTTACTGTATTTACTGCCAAATACACGTCAAAGCATGCTTCTGGGGGTAGTTTGACCCTTATGATGCAAGCATCTCATTGTTTTGACCGATTAAAGTTCCATTCCTGTTTGGACGCACGCTATTGACACGCTACAAACAGAAATACCAAAATATAAGATGAAAATCTGAAGAAACAAGCTTTACTAAGGTTTTCTCAAAAAACTGACTTAACTCTATATTCATTGCCATAATCGTGAACGCAGAGAGTTATAAAAAAATGATAACTTTCTAACATCTTCATAATGTTAACGAGAGAGAGTTACGTCAAACATAACTCTCTCATGTTAGTTCAAGGAAACGGCGGGAGAGTTAAGAAATTGGGTGTGGTCGTTGGGGAAAGTGGGCGTGGTGTGAACATAACTCTCCGAAATCATAACTCTCCGAGATAACTCTCTGGTTGGTAACTCTCCCTTTAGTCATACCCCTCTCGCGCTGTTGCGAGGGAAACAGTCTAATTTCGTCACTCTCACGTGATATGCTCTCGACCAATAAAACACTAGAAAAATGCGACTTTGCCTATTGGTATATAATAATATAGATTATAGTACAATTTGCCGCTATATTAACGTACTAAAAATGATAATTTTTGCAAGAAAAGTCGGTTTATTTAGCTCAAAATCGTCTTCCAGTACTGACAACAGTTCATATACGATTGCGCTAAATATAAAATCGTGGTGAAACGTACAAAACGACTTCAAAATCAAATTTGAAAGTGAGGCTTCCTAACATATGATGCAAGATTTGGTATTCATTCCAACCCCTCGCTCATTTGTCATGGCCTGACACCCTCGCATCATTGATCCTACACGTTTTGTGACGCGCTGTCAAGAGCGAATCTTGAATTTATCCTTCAGAAATTATACGTGTACTTGTGTAGCACTAGCACGATCTTTTTGAGTCAGTCGAAATAATAAATCGTCGCGAAATACATGAAAGGTCTATTAGTATTAGAAAAGATTGTGTTTTGAAAATACAATGACGGATTTTAACAACTTTCCACATCCATTGGTAACTTTTATTTGCAGGGAAACAACTAGGGAACTTTAAGCTACATAGAGATGAAATTTAGTGAAGTTCTGTGCAATAAATGGCGAAGAAAACGCGTTTACAAGGGGGCGACGTGCGAACACGCTTGGCGGATAATCTTTTGTACAAGAAACTAGCCTTAACAACAAAAACAGGTGAATGACCGTTTTAACTGAAGATCGGAAAAGTTTTTTTGAAAATTAAATATAACTGATAGGTTTTTGTTCTGGATCTCTAGCCGTTTATTTGGATCGTATGAATTTAAATAAGCCATTTATTGCTTTGTGAAATTGACAAATTTTGTCATGATTTTGTTCGAATTTTTCAGTCCGAAAACTCGCGTCTGTTTGAACAAATTTCTAAGCCTGAGTATCGTCAATCTGAATAAAATTGCCTCTACTTGTAGCAAGAACATTTAATAGTGAATGTGTTCTCTTCATTTCATTTGCATATTTTATCATAATTTTGCAAAAATTAGTGAACTGCTTGGTCAGTTCATATTTTGTGCCTTTTAGGCTTTAGCTGACCTCCTTGTTCGATTGGAAGAATATGTGTTTACCTAACATTCTATTTAATAATGACAGATTGATCGGCTTTTAGTTGAGCATGCAATAATTATTGCTTGTAGGGATCTTACTTTAGCATGCATGCCGAGATATTTTGGAGAGGTCCTGTATTACCTGGCCATGTATTCAGTGTGTTGTCACTGTTGTGATCCACTCATGCTGATAAACTGGGTTGTCTGTAAACTGGATAATCTTGGCACAGGGCACAGGATGTGCTTGACTCAAATTCTATTCATGCAACTCATTATTAGGGACGGACCATTATTTTTTTGGAGGGGGGGATGGAAAATTCTTAAAAAAAAATTGTTTGCAAAGACAAAAAAGTGCAAATAAACTGTTTGCACACATAGCGAAGAGGAAAAATATAGTTTGCAAGCTTAAATGAGATTATGCAACATCAACTAAGTTTAATAACAATGAACAGTGCGCTCACCGGCATACTCAGGGTCTTCACCCCAAAAGCCCTGGGATGGGAGACGCTGGGCACATGTCGCAATCTACATATGGGTTATAAATATTAATCTATTAAATACAGTCATTTTGGGGGTTCTTTTTTTATTTTGTATAAAATAGGTAATTGGACAAGTACTGGTGCATGTGAGACATTGCGTAGCGTAAATAATGAGAGGACCAATATCAAGGCCTTTTTTAACATACAGGCCAGGGGGAGGGAAATGACAACCTTATGCCCCCCACCCACAGAATCACCCTCCCCCAAATAAACATATAAACAAACAAACCAGCGGCGAAAAATAACAAATTGATAAACAAAATGTAAGTTTTAGGCTTTGTCATTGTTTAACAAAATCGATTTAAATTGTTACGTTTTTCTACCACTAAGTAATGATAAATTACTTTTATTTTTTGTGTGTAAAACTTGGCATAAATTTTAGAGTAAATTTAAATGCTCAGAATGCAGGAAATGATATTTCTGGGCTTCAAATTTCAAAAAATTTCTGGGGAAATACGCCCCCAGACCCTGTGGCCTTAAGCCATTCCTATCCCTCTATAATATATTATCTCACAGAAGGGTCCCTTTTAAAAAAATGCCCCTCTCCCCCACGGGAAAAACCTTAAAAAGGCCCTGACCAGTATACCTAAAAAATTAAATGTCTGTTTACATATTAAATTTATACTTCTGACAACACCACATGTTGTTCGATCACACATGCGATAATGTAATCGGGCACAAATTAAACTATATATATATATATATATATATATATATATATATATATATATATATATATATATATATCAATTTATAATGAAATGCACAGCGATCAGATGGATAAAAAAGTGTTTCCAGAAGGAAGCAGGCGCAAAAAAATTGTTTGCAACGACAGCAACACCAAAAAAAAATGTTTACGTTGACAAAATGTCCATCCCCCTCCAAAAAAATAATGGTCCGTCCCTTAGACCATGATGTGCATATTTATATCCAAATTTGTTTGGAAATCAACCAAGTTACTAAGTTAGCACATAATTGCAAAATATCTATTGCTAGGTTAGGGTAGCTCCCCAAGTTTTGAATGCCCTGGACTAACATTTCTGCATTTTCTGATAGGTACTCTTGGATAAATAATATCTAAATTCGCTATAGAAACTCACTATTCTTCCAATCAGTGGCGGCGCCGAAGACTGAATACGCTGTAGTGTGGTCCAGCGGGGTTGCCGGTATGACTGTTCGGTATACCGATATACCGAAAATATCGGTATTAAATCAATATCGGTATATCGACACTGGATATTCAACCATACCGATATACCGAAATTTCGGACATACCGGAATTTTTCGGTATACCGTGTTAAATTTACCAACTATATGGCGAAACCATAACCTTTATTTTACTAATGAATGGCAATTCAAAGAACTTTCTACTGCAATGATTTAGAATTTCCACTTCAGTGAGATTTTACACTGAGTACGTGCATGTCGTTCGAAACATGTTCGAAACAGCTTCGAATTTATCGTTTTCCCTTTTAGAATTACTCAAAATTTCCTTCAAACTTCCATTAAAGAATTTTCCTTTATAATTATCAAAGGAAAACCGGTATACCGATAATATCGGTATAATTTTTTCGGTATACCGATACCGGAAATTTCTCATACCGAACATTCCTAGTTGTCGGGCCATGCTCCCCAGGACAAAAATTGTAATCCAGAGTCCCTGAAATGCAATTTCCAGCATTTTGGGGAAGATTATATACAGAATTCTGAAGATTGTAGAGTACATGAAACACATAATTTTTCATGATTATATGCAGGTATAAGGGAACTATACTTCGAAAATAGAAACTTTCACCTTTGTTTTCATTGAAAATCTGGCAAAAGCCCAGCCTGTTAATTAAACTGAGGGGTGAGGCATTATGCCGGTTTTGTCATGTGTATTAAAAATTTGCACCCAATTGTTTATCTCTTTGACATATGCATTGGATGCACAAAATGATCATCTGTTTTGGATAAAAACCGGACAAACACTACAACATTTCAGGACCGACTTTTAGGACCAAATTCATAAATGTTGAGAGGGTGTCACCATCCTAAAATGTGCCCCTGACTGTGGTAACATATAAAGCATAAATAAACCCATTTTATATTTTCCTGCAAATATGTTTGGCTACATCAGGGTCGGGAGGGGACAAAAATAAAACGTCCCAAAAAGTTTTTCGAACACTAGTTTTACATAATGGGGGTTTAAATGTTGTTTTGCAAACCTTTTCCAACCTCAATTTTCTAGAAAATTCCTTAAAATTTAACATAATCCGCAATCCTAGGGCTCCCTCTCCGCAATTACACTCACTATTCTTTGGGGGTGTTACACTCCCCCCCCTACACCCCACAGTAGTCCTGGGCTATATGAATTACAAGATGCGCATCTGGCCAGACTAACCTGTTCCATTTGAAGTTAATGCCAAGCCCACTCAACACTGAAAAAACTAACACTAATAGGGATTTTATTTCAGATTTAGCCAGGACTTAGGAGAAGTTGAAGTCGGTGTGTAATTGCCAAAAACAAACTACATTTTCTTAGAATTCAGAGTGGCTTGTGTGTATGGTTGTATATTAAACAACCTCATAATCACTATGCCTGTATCTGAAAGATTATATATTTTATAAATAAAGTATAAAAACATCCATAGTTGAGGAGCACGTGTTAAAAACCAAAACATATTTTAAAATATGTAATGTGCCAATCAATTTATACTGTTAACATCCCCCCCCGGCATACCCCTGGGCATTTGAACTTTTTGAAATTTTTGTGGTCAAATTTCCCACTCCCAGGACAAAAATGCTGTTCAAATGCCCCAGATGTAACAGAAAATTGATGGTCAAATGCCCCAACCCCCAATCATTCTGATTGTAATTCTATCAGTTCAAGTTTGGAAATTGTTTGAAAACATACATACACTGTTGATTTTATGAAGAAATACCGGCCAAAATACAGCAGAAATAATATAAATTTATTGTTTAAACGACGGAACAAAAAACGTAACGTGAACGTATACATGCGCCTGCGATATTAGCGTCCGTATTAACTAGTGAGTACTTTATATAAGCAGTACATGTAATGTTTGAGTCTATAAAATCTATTAGTTCCAACACTCCCACTCACTCAGCATATTACTGTATTATGATAAGTCCAAGTCTTGCTCGAAGATTTTCAAACTGTCCTCGCGGTAAAGGCTTCGTGAAAATATCCGCGACCATTTCATGTGTAGGACAATACTTTAGTTCGATTGTTCTATCTTGAATTTTCTCTCGAACAAAGTGAAATTTAATATCGAAATGCTTTCTGCGCTTGTGTACAACAGGATTTTTTGACATTGCGATTGTCCCTTGATTGTCCTCGTTAATAGTGGTTGGACTCGAACAATTTATTTGCAAATCCTTGCTTAGTTGTCGTAACCATACACTTTCTTGAGTTGCTAAGCAAAGGGCGATATATTCGGCTTCAGCTGTTGAAAGTGCTACCGTAGGTTGCTTCTGGCTTGCCCAACTAATGGCACCATTGGACATTACAAATACGTTGCCAGAAGTAGATCTTCGATCATATGAATCTGCGGCCCAATCTGCGTCGGAATATCCTTCCATATCTTTATCACTTGCTTCGTACTGGAGATGCAGTTTAACTGTTCCCTTCAGGTAGCGAAATACACGTTTGACAGCAGTAAGATGTGCTTCATTAGGGGACGAGTTAAACTTTGCTAAAGTACCAACTGCGTGAGCTATGTCTGGTCGAGTAGCTATCAGGGACGCCGGAACTGGGGGGGCAGGGGGGGGGCGGCTGCCCCCTTGCCTTTTGCTAGGGGAGGCAGGGGGGGGCAGAAGTGCCCTTTTAGTTGTAAAATACTACGTGATAAATCACATTTCCAGTGATACTTTTTCTGGCAAAATCATGAGATTCAGGTAATTTATAGGCCCAGAGAAAGTTAATTTACAAAAATAAGTGTGAATTTGGAAAAGAATGAGGACAATTTACAAAAATTTTTGAAAATTTTTGGAATTTAGAAAAATATTTTGGATAAATGCGGAAAATTGCTGATATGCGGAAAAAATTTTTACGGAACGGAAAATTTTGGTATGTCCGGAAAAAATTTTTCACTCCTAAAGTGGTACACTGACCGAAATTTTTTTGGCGATGGGGGGGGTGGGGAGAGGGCGCCCAAAAAATGTCCATGTTAAAAAAAAATTTATGGTAGATTTTGAACTTTTGATCTATAGAGGTGCCCTTGGTGTGCGTCTGCCCCCCCCTTTGCCTTTTTATCGTTCCGGCGTCCCTGGTAGCTATAGCTGCATAACTCAAGCTTCCAACCATCGATTGGTACTCAACAGGATCTACTGCTTTGCTGTAACCATCATGTTTCACCAGCTTCACATTCACATCCATCGGCGTCGATACAGGTTTACAATCTTGTAACTTGTACTTGTGCAATATCTTGTGAATATACTGCTCTTGGCTCATTTGCAAAACACCGTCCATCGTTTTAATGTTTACTCCAAGACAGTAATGAAGCTTACCCATATCTTTCATCTTGAAACGAGCTGCGAGACTGGCCTTCAAGTCGATCATTTCTTGCTCGGTTTCGGTTAAGAGTATGAGATCGTCAACGTGTACAGCAACTATGGCAAGTTGATCATTGACTTTCCGAATGAAGACACACGGATCAGCAGCACTTTGCTCAAATCCTTGGGATATCATGAATTCCTTGAACGACTTGTTCCAACATCGTGGACTCTGCTTCAATCCATAGAGAGATTTCTTTAGGTGGCACACAAGATTTTCTTTTCCAGGAACAACATAACCTTCTGGCTGCTCCATATAGATATCTTCGTCAAGTGTTCCATTTAGGAAAGCGGTAACGACATCCATTTGATGGATAAACATATTTCTGGAAACAGCAAACGCCAAAAGAGCTCGGATAGATGTAAAGCGAACAACAGATGAAAATGTTTCATCAAATTCGACTCTGCTTCAATCCATAGAGAGATTTCTTTAGGTGGCACACAAGATTTTCTTTTCCAGGAACAACATAACCTTCTGGCTGCTCCATATAGATATCTTCGTCAAGTGTTCCATTTAGAAAAGCGGTAACGACATCCATTTGATGGATAAACATATTTCTGGAAACAGCAAACGCCAAAAGAGCTCGGATAGATGTAAAGCGAACAACAGGTGAAAATGTTTCATCAAATTCGATCCCGTACTTTTGTAGAGAACCTTTCGCTACAAGACGTCCTTTAAACCGATCGATCTTCCCATTTTCACCATGTTTGACTTTAAATACCCATCTGCAGGTAATTGCCTTTCGTCCGGGTGGCAGTTCGACAAGCTCCCAGGTCTCATTTTCCATTAGAAATTGATATTCAGAATCTGCAGCTGTCGTCCAGTTTTCCGCATGAGCACTTTCGAGAGCTTTCTTCAACGTTGTCGGCTCTTCAACTTCTGTTACAAAGAGGGCTGTATGCTTTGCTGTTGTGATACCAGCGTATTCATCATGATAATAAACTGGTGGCTTTCGTTCTCGCGCTGAACATCTGCTATCAGGTGATTTCTTATTTGATTCTTCTTTACAGCACTCATCATCCTTTTCCTCAACCTCCAATTGTACTCTGTTCGTATGTCCGAAGTCAGTTTCATTGAAAGTAACATCTCGACGGATAAATATTTTACGTTTGTTCTCATCGTACAATCGATACCCCTTCTGTGTCAAACAATAGCCAACGAATCTCATTTTCACTGCTTTCTGGTCGAGCTTCTGACGTGAAGAATCTTGGTACATGGGCATAGGCAGTGCCACCAAAAACACGGAAATTTGAAATATCCGGTTTCTTACCGTACCATCGCTCATATGGGGTGACTCCAGTTGCTGTTGTGATAACTCGGTTTCTTATGTATGCTGCTGAACAAACTGCTTCAGCCCAGAAACTCTTGGATACTCCTGCATGTAAGATCATTGATAAAGCAGCTTCCTGGAGCGTCCTGTTCATTCGTTCGGCGATACCATTCTGTTGTGGTGAGTGGGGTACAGTTGTCTCGTGATGAATACCTTTCTCTTTGAGGAAATTTTGAAATTCAGCAGACATATAATCACCTCCATTGTCTGTCCGTAAAGTTTTAATTTTGCAATCTGCTTGATTTATTACTACTGCTTCCCATTCTTTAAACTTATCCAACACTTCCGATTTGTGTGTAATGGGATAGACGGTTACACATCTTGAATAATCGTCAATGAATGTCACAAAGTACCTGGCACCACCAAAACTTTCGGTTTTCATTGGTCCAGCGACATCACTGTGACAAGCTGTAATCGTTTCTTTGATTGTACTTCTCCCACTGGTTTGAAGGGTGCTCGATGTGATTTTCCTTCGGCACAGGCTTCACAGAAGTCCAGCTTCCCGGTTCTAGGCGTATCCGTACCTGTTACCATCTCTCTTGAAACCATCGTCTTCATTTGGCCAGCGTTCAAATGAGCCATCCTTTGATGCCACAGATTTAGTTTGTCACTTGATCTCTCTGCAACTGACACTTGTTTTTCTTGTCTTTCTACTCTGCAGTCCAGACTATACATGTTGCCAACAAGACGACCTCTCGCTACAACATTTCCTTGAGAGTCCTTGATCCAGCAAAGTGCATGTTCAAATTGCACCACTTTTTCTTTCATAACTGCCGCCCAAGCACTAAATAGATTTGCGGCTAACTTGGGAACATACAGTACTTTAGTCATAGTTGATTTTCGTTCATCTTTCTCTTTAGGGCCAAGCAGCATAGTAATGGACATTTCACCAGTCCCCAAAGAATGCACAGATCGACAATCTCCAAGAACAACTGGTTCTGGCTCCAAAAACTCTTGATAGTTCATCAATAGATCACGACTTGAAGTCATGTGTTGAGATGCGCCTGAGTCGATAATCCAGTAGTCACCTCCTTTCATAACACTTAGTCCAACAGCAAAAAACAGCGCCAGAATCATCATTCTTATCAGTGTCCCCATGAGCAGGAGCTGCATTGTGCTTTGATGATTTGTCAAATTTTCCTTGATTTTCATTTCGTCGATACTGTTTTTTTTTCTTTTTCTGAGGACAATTTCGAATAACATGACCTTCTTCTTCACAACCATAACACTTAATAGACTTTCGATCTAACTTGTTATTTTGCAATGCAGATTCGCAATCCTCAACTGCACCACCACCACCGACTTTACTCTTACTTTGCTTGCGTTTTTCTTCCTCGTTTAACAATGCTTGATGCAGTTGAGTTCGTCTCCTTTAGCAGTTAGTGCGGTTACCAAGGTGTTATATGAACGTGGTAGACTTAATAGTAATGCGACTATATGCTCATCGTCTGGAATTGGTGTTTTGATAGCGGCCAATTGATCAGTAATCACTTTCATCCTTCGCAAGTGTTCATCAAGAGAATCTTGATTCTTTTATTCTTAGGCATAGGCGTACGGGACGGGGGGGGGGCAGGGCAGGGGTGTCAGAACTTGTCAGGGGTGTCAGGACTTGTCAGGGGTGTCAGGACTTGTTAGGGGTGTCAGGACTTGTCAGGGGTGTCAGGACTTGTCATGACTTGTTAGGGGTGTCACGTCTGCAATATTTACCATGATCTATTCATTCTTTGCAGATTTGTGGCTGTGAGCCATTGTCAGGGTCTGACCGACTAGTATACCATGTGTAATGAATCCCAAATCTTGCATGGTGTCCTCAATTGGACAATTGCTGACATTGCTTTTGATCTGATCATTTGAAAACCTGTGTTGCACAAACATGCGGCACAGTATAAGCTGATTCAAAGGAGAAGCTGTAATTTTTGAGGTCTTAACTTAATATTTTTATATACTTTGGACACTATTCAATAGGACCATGCTAGGTAATTACTGCAGCAAAGTTCCTGTTTATTATAGGAATGCAATACTGCAACAGGTTTTAATAATAATGCACCTTGCTAATGTCAAGGCAAAGCTTGAGCTGCACAGATTACTGTAACTGTAAGAATATTCTCATATATATTCTTAATCTGTGTCTTGAGTAAGGTTAAAATGGAGGTTAAGAATCAATGGGAAAATGCAAAATTAATAATGCTAAAGAATTAAACCTCCATCGACAATGGTAGCTGATTTTTTTATTCCATCTCAAATAAAACAAATGTTATTCTTATTAGCTGTTACATGTGTTGGAGACTGTTGCTATAGACATGGAATTTTCCAACTACATTCTATAAATACTCAATATAAAAATATATCTCATGAGTCAAACAATGACAACAGTCAACAGGGCCCCCCACACCAAATATGCCTAAGGCCCCCCTGTTCCTCCGTTACGCCACTGGAGGCAAGTAATACATTATTAAAGTCTAAAGGTATAATTATCTGTACTTTTAGGTCTTTATATCAGTGGCATGATACATGTGATTCACCAGCTCATGGTTGTAAAAAAGAAGAAATAATACAATTGTGTTCTTCTGTTTACCAAACTATCTGCAGCTTTTAATGGGAAAGATGATGACTTCAAAGGATATGAATATTTGGAAGATGAAAAATAAGAAATATAATTAAAAACATGGCTAACCACAAATATGATTTTTGGTATGTGTAATATTTGTGTCACTAGAAGAAATGTTATCTCTATTATAAAAAAACCCCTTCTTTATCGACTTTTCCAAGCGTCCTGATCTGATGTCATTATGTGAATTGTAAATTAGGTTTCCTTTGTTTTGTATCAATATTCATCTAATGACATCAGAAACTTTGACAATGAAAAAGTTGATCAAGATGAGGTTTTTATATCACACAAACCAAAAATTCGATTTGGGGTTAGTCCAACTTTAATTAATTAATGCATGCTTGATTTTTTTGTCATTGACTTGCATTTAATAAAATAAAGTTACAGCACACATAGTGTACATGTTTTGAAAATAATATCTAGTCTATTTGTCAAAGTCATGAAAAAAGGAAATTCATGCTGTGTACAAGAAAATGTTTGATTTAAAAACTACTTGATCAACAAGAAACAGCTTATAGAAGACAGGTTATATGTAATTGAATAATAGTTGAAGGGTCTTGTATAGATGGAAATTATCAAGTGGAAATTTATATGCATTTATGAGACCTAACCAGGCATAGTTGCGAAAAATGCAACAGCAGGTCCCGGGCAGGAATCGAACCTGCTGCTCTGCAATTCAGGTGCAGCACTCTAACCAATATATACAGGGGCGGAAAAAAATAGGCGAGCATTGACAGACATTATTCCTTGAATTTAAAACCGTGGTCAGCTAGAACACTATATGTTTATGCACATACAGATTTAGCACAAAAATACTCTGTTGGTCTACAGGAAATTTTTGTCTCCAGGTTTTGCTCCCAGGAAGAAAATTCTTTTTTCCTGCCCTGAATGTACACCTGTATATAGAGAAGAGAGTACTGCCATGTTTAGGTTATGATTAAATATCCGAGATTTTGTTGTTGGCTTTTCACTTGATTCAATAATAGTTGAAAGGCCGTGTATAGTAGGGTCGTTAATAAATGTATACAAATTTCCACTCAATAATTTTTATCAATAGTCTATATAAGACCTTTCAAACAGGGCCGGTCAGCCCTGCAAACCAGGCTCACATAAACAGCCCCTAAATCATGCGACGCTGGCCTGGATCCTTGCAGATGTCATCATGGCTCCAACCCTCACAAGTTCAGGTTGTTTGACAAAGGTTGGAATGTTGGGACCTTACCATTATTAACAGCAAAGCTAATTCAAGCCAAGTATTGGTCTATTGCAGGTTTGCAGCAATAAAGCTAATACAATCATTGAATCATGAAATGTATTGTGATTTTCAAAAACATAATTACTCAAAGACAGCCCAAAATATATGGTAATTGCAAATGGCAAAATACAGTGTGGCGGTAGACATTTTATAAATACATATACTATAGAAAATATATTTATTACTTTAATACGAAGAACTATCACGACATACTGTACATGTAAGGTCCGTTTCATGTGAAAATGAATTTCCTTATTTCATTGTTATCCCCGAGCCGGCGGCGCGAAGCGCCGTGCGAGGGTACTAATTCCGCACGGCTAATTATACCCGGATATGTGAAAACATAGCGGAGTGCAAAGCTGGTGCAAAGCACTGAGCTATACTCTATTACTGGAGGACCTGCTCGGCATCAAAAAGTGTCGCCAAAAACATGGCGGATTTCGGCCTTTGCTGACGCCAGAATGACGCCATATGGTTCCTCCG